GGTAAGCCCATTAGAATTGCTTTAAGTTTCTGCTGAGTCTGGGTCTGCTTGTGCAACTGTAACAAAATAAAATGTACTGGTTGGCTTAAATAACAAAAATGTATTTCTTCAGTTCTAGAGACTAGGAAATTTAAAATTAATGGCAAATTAGGCTTCATTCTGAGGTCTTTTTGAGCTTTTAAGTGGCCTCTATCTCACTATGTGCTCATATGACCTTTTTGTGTGTGGTTATGCAATAGAAAAAACAAATTCTCTGATGTCTTGTCTTAGACGAATACCAATCTCATCATGGGTTAATAAGCCTTTGACATATTGATCTTTTTCTTCCCTTTTTTGGTGGTACTTGGGATTGAGCCCAGGGGTGCTCTATAGGGAACTACATTCCCAGTCATTTTCATTTTGTTGTGAGTCAGATTCTCTAAATTGTCCAGGTTGTCCTTGAACTTGTGCTTTTCCAGCCTCAGCCTTCTAGTCACTGGGGTTACAGGTTTGTGCAACCATGCCCAGTATCAACATATAAATTTGGGGCAGGAATGGAACACACACATTCAGTCTGTACCATCCTGCAACCTTTTGCCATGATAATAAATTATTTTAATACCACAGGTTTAAAAAAAATTAATCTGTCTTTTTCTTTTTTTTTTTTTCTGGTACTGGGGATTGAACTCAGGGGTGCTTTACCACTGAGCTATGTCCCCAGCAGCCCTTTTTTGTTTTATTTTTTTGAGACAGAGTCTCACTAAATTGCTTAGGACCTCACTGAGTTGCCCAGGCTGGCCTCATTTTTGCAGTCCTCCTGCTTCAACTTCCAGAGTTGCCAGGATTACAGGTATGCAGTACCATGCCCAGAAGAAAATTAATTTTTACATTTACTATTTAGTTTGTGTATAAATTTCTTCTGGTGAAAAATTAATAGTCATCAGAATCTTTTAGTCAGTGAGTTTGGTTTTTTTAAAATTCATATTATCAAAATCTGTTAGATACTTTTATTCTGAAGTTTATCAAATCTGAATTGTTCTTTGTACAGAGAGCATGAGCAGTGAACAACAGACATTGTACAGGTATTTTTATGCTCTGGTGCTGGTTTGGTCTTATGTTTTGGCTTTGCTTAAAAGGTAACTAATAGGGCTGGGGGTGTGGCTCAGTGGTAGAGTGCTTTCCTAGCATGTGTGAAGCCCTGGTTTGATCCTCAGTACCACATAAAGATAAATAAATAAAGGTATTATATCCATCTATTAAAATTAAAAATTTTATTAAAATATTAAAAAAAGGTGATAATGCCAAGTCCTGGGAAAACAACTCTCTTGCTCATTTTAAAAACAAGACTGAAGTTTTTCTTGTGACCATGTATGTTCCTCTTTTCTTTCTTTCTTTTTTTTTTTTTAACAGTACTGGGAATCAAATTCAGGGTCTCATGTGTGCTAGGCAAGCACTCTACCACTAAGCTACATCCCTAGCTCAGCCTTCATATAGGTTTCTTATTTTTATTTTTTATTTTTTTTGGTACTAGGGATTGAGCCCAGGGACGCTTAACCACATCACCACATCACTACTCCCCACATCCCCAGCCCTTTTTATTTAATAATTTTGAGACAGGGTCTCGCTAAGTTACTTAGGGCTTTGCCAAGTTTCTGAGGCTGACCTATAGCTTGTAATCCTCCTGCCTCAGCCTCCTGAATCATTGAGATTATAGGCACCTGTTTCTATACTTACCTCATGTATGTTTCTTAATATGAAAACTGATGAATTAATTTTCTTCATCATTACTAAGGTGAAACATATTGCTATTACTTTCTTTTTTTTTTTCCCCTTTGGAATTGAACTCAGGGCACTTGACCACTGAACCACATCCCAGCCCCCACCCTTCGCCCCCACCCCCCCTTTTTTTTTGGTACTGAATTCACTCAACCATTGAGCCACATCTCCAACCCTTTTTGTATTTTATTTAGAGACAGGGTCTCACTGAGTTGCTTAGTGCTTCGCTAAGTTACTGAGGCTGGCTTTGAACTCACGATCCTCCTGCCTCAGCCTACTGAGCCACCAAGATTACACTTGTGTGCTACCATACCCTGCCCACTGCTATTACTTTTTTAAAAATACAATGGATTTAATTTTTTTAGAGCAGTTTTAGGTTCATACCAAAATTAAGCAGAAAGTATAGAGAGTTCTCATATTTCTTAATATGCATATAGCCTCCCTTGCTATCAACATCCCACAGCAGAGTTGTATGTTTGTTAGGATAGGGGAAACTATGTCCAGACATCATTGTCCCTCAAAGTTCATGGTTTACATTGGATTTACTCTTTGCATTGTAAGTTCTATGGGTTTTGACAGATGTATAATGATACGTGTTTACCACTGTAATAGTTTTACTTTCCTAAATATCTGTGTTCCACTTCTTTGTTCCTCCTTCCCCTTTTCCTGTGGTAATCACTGATGTTTTATTGTTTCCATAGTTTTGTCTTTTCCAGAATGGCGTTTGTTAGAATTGTACAATATGTAGCATGTTTAGTCAGACTTGGTGGTGATCTCCTGTAATTCCAGGGACTCCAGAGGCTGAGACAGGAGGATCACAAATTTGAGGCTAGTTTCAGCAATTTAGCTACTCCCTAAGCAACTTAGTGAGACCTTGCCTCAAAATACAAAATAAAAATGGCAAGGAATGCGGCTCAGTGGTAAGGTTCCTCTGGGCCCAATCCCCAGTACCAAAAACAAAAACAAAATGAAACAAAAAACCCAATATATAGGGGCTAGGGTTGTGGCTCTGCAGTAGAGCACTTGCTTAGCATGTATGGGGCCCTGGGTTCTATCCTCAGCACCACATAAAAATAAATAAATAAATACATTAAAAAAATAACCACTGAGGTACCTCTATGACTTTTCAAGGCCAAAGTACTCATTTCTTTTTAGTTCTAGTTTATATTCTATTGTCTGGTTATACCACAGATTATTTATCCATTTTCTTACTGTAGGGCATCTTTAAAATTTGACAATTATGAGTAAAACTGCTATAAACATTCACATACAGGTTATGTGTGGACATAAATTTAAAACACATTTAGGTGAATGCTAAGGCGAGCATGACTAGAATATATGATAAGAGTATTTAGTTTATAGGAAACTGACAAACTCTCTTCCAAAGTGACTGTACCATTTTTGTATTTCCACCAGCAATGAATGAGAGTTGTAGTTGCTCTACATCCTTTCCAGTGTTTGGTATATCAGTATTCTGGAATTTGGTAGTTCCAATAGATGCATTGTTGTTCTGATTTGGTGATTCATTTCTTAAGATCCTAGAGACTACTTGATTGTGTGGAAGTATTATTTATTATTTTCTTTCATATATAGACAGTATTTTTACCCAGAATAGAATATAATTGCTAGTACCAAATAGTCTTGAGTTATTACTTGTTTAAATATTTATCTAGCTTTAAAATGTATCTGTACCATATTTATAACTATGATCACAAATTATGTATGCATATACATAAGCACTAGAAAGGAACTAAAGTGATTGGTTGGCATACCTTTCTTTTTCATACCAGTTATAGTATTTGTGATAAAATAAAAGAAAGCCTGTATAGTTTTTTTTTTTAGGATGTATTTTAAATATTTAAGATTGAGCTGATTTTAGTTAAAATCCAGGCCACTTATGAAGTCTTTTTGACATTTGTTTTTATTAGACATACATTTATAAACTCTTTTCTTAAATTGGTCATTTTTTACTATATGTTTGATTACATTTAAAAAATATGGCAATTTGAGAAGAAGTAGAATGTGGGCTATCAAGGATTTTAATGACTTTGTATATTTAAACCTTTAATGATGCCTAAAATACCATTATACCATACTCCTGGCTCTGCAAATCAGGTTGTTAAATGATTTCTCATTTAAAAATTCTTTTTTTTTTTCATTTTAGCACTTTTTAATAAAAGTTGTAAATAAGATTACTTTATACCTGTATCTTCTCAGTTGTTTCTTCCTTATTATATTCCCTTTTCCTTTCCTTCTTGGCAAGATTTGGTCTTCCATTCCAGGATCTTTTTTTGTCCACTTTTAGCCTGGTGATTTCCACCTTGCTGGGGTAAATGCTCACATAATAATAATACCATTAACCTTTTCCTGCTGTACCCATTCAATGTAGATGACATCTCTTCCTGTACACTTGGACTACTTTGCCAATCTGCTGATCTTTATAGTGTGCTTGAATAAGAAAGAGCTTCCTTCTCAGTTCTTTGGAAAGAGGGGAGGATATAATCTTATTGTAAATGTGGGAAGGTGCATTGAAATGCCTCTTATGTTTCTTGCTTTGGTCAGAAGTCGCAAAGGAATTGGGGCTGGGATCGTGGCTCAGTGGTAGAGCACTTGCCTGGCATATATGAGGCACTGTGTTCGATTCTTAGCACCGCATATAAATAAGTGAATAAAATACAGGTATATCAACAACTAAAAATATATTTTAAAAAAGTCACAAAGGGATTGTACTTCATCTTGGTCTGCTGCTTCAGGGATGGCTGCATAATGGAAGAAGTCTATATACAAGATGTGTTCTATTAGGTTCTTTTGAAATTTGATAGACGTTCTCTTGGGTTTTGTTTTTCTTCAAAGTAAGAATAAGACCTGAAAACAAACCCTTTGCATATTTATGTCAGCAGTGTAGTAGGTCATGTTGCAGAAGAAAAAGATCACAGATATAGAATTTTAAAATTTACTATTGTAAGAACTTCAAACTTCATTGCTTGAAGGAAGAAGTGGAGTGCTCAGAGGGTGAGGATTACCACCTCATTTCCTTAGTATGTCAGAATTTTATTTTATTTTTTAACCTCTTGTGTGGGTGGTGGTGCAAAGAAATGGATTGTTTCATCAGCAGGGAGGAGAGTTCTTACTGCCCTGGAGCAAAGAAGAGGAGACTTCTTGATTCTCATGTAGGAGACATGAAAAATCATGATAATCAATTTTGGAGAAGGGGCAAAGATGAAGCCAGTAGTCTTATATCAGCAAACTTTTAATTCATAAACAAGATGATTGGGTGTTCACACTGTTGTGTGAGCTCTGCCTCCCTCTAAACCTTGTTATGATGTTGGCAAAGTACCTATCTGATGTTTTAAAAAAAGGCTATTTGTTAAGCATGTTTATAGCAAACATTTGAAACAGAACATTGTATTTGCCCATGATACATTAGGTTTTTCAATTATTTCTTTTTCTGAAACTACTGAAATAAAATACTACTTTGTTATGAATGATCTAAAGATAAATTAGAACATTTCAAAAATTTGTTTCACAGAATATTAGTCCCTTAAGTTATTGTTTTTGGAGGGGGAGAAAAAGCATTTAGTGATAATTAAGATTGGAAAATATTGCAGATTATATTTCTTTATTGGAGATGGGCATTAACACATTAAAGACATGAAGCAGTTTTCTGCCACCTTCCGATCCCTGCCACCCTGATCCCCATACCACCCCATATGGGGAATTGATCCAGGGGTATTTTACCATTGAGCTTCAGGGTTTCTGTAAGTTGCTCAGACTGGCCTTCAACTTGGAATCTTCCTTCCTCAGTAGGACCACAGGCTGGTAACCAAGCCTTTAGCATATGAGCCTTTGGGGAACATAGTAGATCCAAACCATAATATTCTGCCCCTGATACCCTAAGGCTCATGTCCATATCACAATTCAAAATGCATTCAGTCCATCTCCAGGGGTCCCCAAAGTGCTAAAACTGTTTCGGCTTATTGAAATGTTCAAGTCCAAAGACTCCTCTGAGATGCAAGGCAAACTCTTAGCTGTGAGTTCCTGTTTATAAAAAATATATATAACATAATAATATAATATGATATGTACTTTAAATATATAATGACTCAGGGTAAGCATTTCCATTCCAAAAGGGAGGAATAGGACAATAGCAAGGAGGAATTGAACCAAAGCAAGATTGAAACCCAGGAGGGCAAATAAATAATAACTCCTGTTGCTTCATGTCTGGCATCCCAGGTACATGGTGGAGGAATGAGAGTCCCACCCCTCCGTTGCCTTGCTGGCTGTAGTCCACATGACCACTTCCTTGGGCTAAATTTGTTTGCTGCCTATGGCTTCCCTGGACAGGTGTTCTGCATCTCTAACTTCCTGGGGTCTCCATTGCAGCTTCAACCTCACTCTCACAGCTTCACTCATCAGTCTGTTAGGGCTGCTTCAGCGACTTCAGCTCTGCCATAAGCTACCTAGCCTTTCAGGTTTTCCTTTGAAATCTTGGTAGAAGCCTCCATGACCTCATGACTCTTGCATTCTGCATGCCTGCAAAACCAGTATCCTGTGGATGATGCCAAGTGGGCCACTAGCTCACCCACTTGGACGATGGCTACAGGGGACTCTGAGTGCCTTGCTGGCTGAACAAGGGAAATGAATCCTAGGGGAAAATCCCCAAGGCAGCCCTGTGGGAGCTGGGGGACCCAGTGCTGTCTTGTCAAATAAAAGTCTTTGTACCTGCAACAGGTGGGGTCTTTCCGATTCCTGAGATGCTCTCAAGGCATCTTTCCTGTTGTCTTGGTGCAGAAATGTTCACTTCTTTTTAAGGGAGCAAACCTCTTTAGTAGCCTTACTCTCCTTGCCCACAATTTTAAAAGTACTCTTTTTCTGATCAAACTGCAAGTTTTACAGATCTTTGTATTCTGCTTTTTGCTCCTAATTCTGTTTACCTAGCTAAAAGCAGCCAGCAATACTGAGGCCACTCTCTGAATGCTGTGCTACCTTGAAATTTCCTTTGCCAGATTAATTAATCTGTCACCTTTAAATTTAGCATCCTGCATAATCTCAAGGCATGGGTAAAAATTAGGCAAGTTCTTTTCCAGAATGTAGCATGGATGGCCTATAGTCCAGTTCCCAGTAGAGTCCTCATTCCCATTGGAAACCTCATCAACACAACCTTTACTGTTCATGTTTCTATCAGCATTTTGGTCTTCTGAACCCCCAAGAATGATCTATTAAGATCTGCTTACCAATGACTTAACTTCTTCAACTAGGCTTCACCTTCTAAAGGTTCCACTATCTGCCAATAGTGTCACAGTCTGGCAACTAAGCATTGAGCCTTTGGGGGACATTTAAGATCCATAACATTTGATAAATTTCTGAATGCCTTGGCATGTAGAACTGATTAGCCTCTTAGAGAATGATCAAAGTAGACTTTTTGGATAAATCAGAGCACTTTCTTTTTTCTGGGGGGGGGGGGGATGGTGTCACTTTATGGTTGAGTTCACCTTTCCAGCCACAGAATATTTGCATCCATTATTCAATATACCTCATTCTAGATAGGCCTAGTGGTGGATACCTGTAATCCCAGTGACTTGGGAGGCTGGGGCAGGAGGATTACAAGTTCAAGGGCAGCCTTACCAACATAGCAAGACCCCTGTCTCAAAAAAAAAAAAAAAAAAAAGGCTAGGTATGATAGCCCTGTGTGGTGGTGCATACCTGTAATTCCAGTGGCTTAGGAGGCTGAGTCAGGAGGATCAAGAGTTCAAGGCCAGCCTCAGCAACTGGTGAGGTGCTAAGCTACTCAGTGAGACCCTGTCTCTAAATAAAATACATACAAAGTAGGGCTGGGGATGTGGTTCAGTGGTTGAGTGCCCCTGAGTTCAAACCCAGGTATCCCCTCCCTAATGGCTAGGAATGTGGCTTAGTGGTAGAGCACCCCCCTGGGTTTAGTCCTAGTTACTGCTCCCCCCACTCCCCCCCCCACAAAAAGAAAAAAGATACCTCTAATATCACATTATGTGGAAGATCAAGATAATTAAATTGGAAGATTGCTTGATAGGTGTGAAATTGGAGTAGAGGGAGTTGAGGTATTGTGTGTCTGGGGTTTGGAAGGAAGAACCATGTTTCAGATATGCTAAGGATTTAGAAGAATAAATAAAATTCCAGAAGGCTCAGTGAAAAGTTTTGCTAGTTTTAGTTAGGAAAGGCACCTTGAAGAATTAAAATTTTAAGAATGTATGTACCAAAAGAATTTGTGTTTGGGAATTTTGTAGAGCCCTGCAGTATTTCTGTCCTGTGTCTATAAGACCCTTGAAAGACTGCTTTTATCAAGCTGAGTTGCTTGAGCAATGATGAACACTCAAGCACTTGCTGCTGATTACTGAATGTTTTAATTTGTAATGTAGATAGTGAAATATTTGAGAGCTGTATAAATATTTGAAATAGTTGGGAGCTATAGTGGTTAATTTGAATTGTCAACTTGATTGTATTGAGAGATAACCATGATTAAGAAGCTTCTGGGTGTGTCAGTGAGGGTGTGTCTAGGAATGATTGACATCTGGGATAGCCAACTGAAAGGGAGACCCTCCCTAAGTGTGGGCAGCATGGTACAATAGGATGATGGCTTGGATGGAATAAAAGTCGAAAGAGGACAGGGGTTGTAGCTCAGTGGTAGAACACTTGCCTTGCACATATCAGGAACTGGGTTCAATCCTCCTACTACATAAAGATAAATAAATAAAATAAGAGTATTATGTCCTATCTTAAAAATATTTTTAAAAAAGTTGGAAGAACAAGGAAGCAGCAGCAGAGGCAATCTCGATTCTTCTTGAATGGATTCTTCATTGCTGCTGCTATAGTTGCTACTTTACTCTTCCAAAGCGGACTCCGCCAGTGATTCCCCAGGGAGTTTCCAGAAGCCTTTGGTGTTGGACTAGGTTAGAACTGTTGATCTCTCTTGTTCTGAGGCATTGACTTTTTGGACTGTGCAGCTACTTGTTCTTCCAGCTCTCCAGCCTGTTGATAGCCATTGTGAACTGTCCAGCTTCTGGTCTTGTAAGCCAACCTAATAAATTCCCATTGATTCTGTTCCTCTAGAGAACCCTGGCTAATACAGGAGCCTTTCTTACTGTAAGATACCCTTTTTATCTGAACACAGCTTTCATTGTTCTTTCATGTAATATCTTTGGGTCTACTGGTGTAGTTCCTGAGTCATACTATGTGTTTCTGGATCCCCCAAATCAGCCCTTCCATTTTCTTGGAATAAAGCCTCAAAGCTCAATAATATCTGTATTATTTTCTGTGTGCAATAATATCTGTATTATTTTCAATTTGGGAGATAATAAATAAAATATCCCTTTAACAGCAAACACTCTTTTTTCACCATTGTGTCCATCACATACATAGAAATTCCATATAGCATTGTGGAGATTAAACCTCTGCATTTCTTTATTATTTAATGTTGATTGGGAGTTTAACACTGATGGGAATGAAAACCACCTTTTTCAGTAAACTCTCCCAAAACTGAAGAAGGCTTGTCTCCTTTTCCAAATTTGCTGTGGATCTTTTCTTCCTTTTCAGCCTACATTCTTAATTCTTCTCTGGCAGCGCTCTTTGGATAAAATGTATACTAAAGCCACAAATGGATTTATATAAAACAATCCTCTCACTCATGGCATTCTCTTGCTGTTATTTCACTTGTCTGAGTTGCCAAGAAATTCAAATGCCACCCATGTTTTATAGACTCCTCAATCGTCATAATCAGGCAGCTGTATTCTGTGCATGGAGCTGAAGTGGGACAGGTGTTTAGAAGAACTTTGGCTTTATGTTCTATGCTACCTTTTGTTTTCAGTTCTTGGTTTACCATAAATGTACCAGAGGTTTACTGAGTCAAAGGAACACAGAAAAAGTGAACAAGTAATTTATTTTTCTTAATTTTTAGTAAATCCAAACTACCATAGCAACTATACATGTGTAAACACAAAATGAATTTGAGGTAGGGGTATGTGTGTGTAGGGGGGCATATAGGAAATAGTATAGAATGAAAAATAAATTTTAGTTATTAATAGGCTTCTCCCTTGGGTGACACAGTTGGGATAACTGCCCTGGAGGGTACATTGAAGTAGTGCTTTATAAAGAGAGAACCAGGGGATGTGTTTACCATACACAAAATGAGTTTGCCTCAGGAAATAAGATTTGTGTTCCTCTTTTAAAAGGCCTAACACATTTAAGTTATGGATTGAAACTTTCATTTAAGTAAGAAGGCCAGGGATGTGAAATTAACACCACATAAATAAATAAGGTATTGTGCCCATCTACAACTAAAAAAAAAAAAAAAAAAGTCTTAAAAAAAAGTAAACAA